GGTTACCAACCACGGTTATGAGGCGTGGCTTTCAGCTATGAGAACCAAAAGCAGTTTCTCTTTCTGTGTCAGAAGCTTCAGCTCCGAGCCATGTGAGTTCTCTGTTTCTCCTCTGTAATATTTAATTAATACATCAGGTTTTATAAATAACTATTAGTTACTGTGTTGATTTTTACCTTCGTGTTTAATTTAATACATTTAATGTATTTTTTGATAGAAGAAAATAATCTGTCTCTAATCAACCTGATCTGATCCAGAACATTAAGGAATAAAATTATGTTGGTAAATTATATCTTATTATAACATTTCTATAATTCACACATTGATGTAAAATTCAGTAAAGTTTCCTAACCTGCGCAAAAACCCTTTTGGTGACAGATCAGTTCGTTGTTCGTCAGTAAAGGAAAGTCATGATGCTGTGGGTTTAATGACTTTGGTGAATCTGTTGCTCCTGTGTGATGGCGCCCCTGCTGTTCATGGCTGGTGTTGAAATATCAAAGGGCCTCAAGTCGGGGCTGACAAGTCAAGTTTAGAAGAAGGCATGTGAGGAAGTGACGGAGTGAGGTGGCAGTGAGGTGGCGGGAAGACGATTCAAAGGCTCTTTTCGAAAGTGGAGGGAGTCGATTGGGGAGAAAAACAAATAACATTGTAATTGGAAAAGGCGGTTTGAGCATAAACTGGAATGTGAATGGTTTGGTTGGTAATGGAGATAGGAGATGAGGAAGACATAGACTTTGATGGGTGGATGTCAGTGGGGAGAGGAAGAGGGAGAGGACATGGAAGAAATAAAATAGATGAAGGAAAGGGAATTGGTGATATTCAAGGACGTAAACGAGAACTGGAAGGAAGTAGCTCAGAGGAAGAAAGGATAGTTAGGAGGAAAGTTGTGTGGGAGGAATTTAAAATAATATTAAAACTTAAGAAAGAGGAAGGACAAGATAATATCAGCCCCATTGTGGTGTCAAGAGAAATAAAAAAGAAAATTGGAGATGTTGAAATGGTGAAGATTTTGAGAGATAGAAACCTATTGGTAGTTTGTAAAAATAAAGAACAAAACAATAAGGCTCTAAATGTGGAGAATATGTAAAAAAAAATGTGTTGGAGAAAAGAATCATTGGAGAAAATGAGAAAGTTTTCAGTTGAAAAAGCAAAAGTAATGATATTTACTCAGAAAAAAATTAAACAAGGAAGTAAAATTAAAATGATATAATCAAGAATGAGAGCAAGTAAAGTGTATAAAATTTTTAGTATTATGGTTTGATGAAAAACTAAAATGGAATTGTGGCCCGACCCAGGGCCGGGGTTTCTTTTATTTATAGGACTCACCAGAACACTGTTTAATAAACTATATACAATAGTTTATTGAACAATTTCTTTAAAACACTTCTCTTTTAAAAACACGTTTCAGGCGTACTACTTGGTCCCTGGAAGGGGGATTCTGTGAAAATAAGAACAATTTAAATCATTCCAAAAGAAATAAATTGATAAACAAAACATGCCATGCAAACACCATCCCACCACAGAATGTACATATTCAAAAAGTTGTAGATAAATGTAAGAAAATCTTAAATATTTTGAGATGCTTGACTGGCAGTGACTGGGGAGCGGATAAGCAATCCTTAAAACGATTTTATAAAGGTATGATAAGTCACCTAAAAAATATATGATTCCCCGTCATAACTCTGGCAAATAAGGAGCAAATGCCACCAAAATCACAGGATTTATTGTTGATCATGAGAGGAAATAAACAGAGAAAAAAACTTGCTGGTAATTTGAGTTGTTCCCATATTATGGAGGGGGAACAGATTATTTCAGGCTGCTGAATTATCCATTCTTTCCTCTCCTTACCTCATAACCTTGGGGAATAAAGAACAGCTGTTTCCAAATTCTCAAAAATCTTTACATACACGCTACGTGGGAAAACTGTGTTTGGTGCCTGACTTTTATTTCTGTCAGGCTTACGTGAGAGAAGTTGGAAAAGAGCGATTCTCTTGGTGTTTAAAATGACACAAAACAGCAAGACCTCGTTTATTTATTTATTTTACAATTTTTTAAACAACAGCTGCCAATTAAACTGAATGTTACAACCTTGACATGATTATATGAGTTTTACCGAGAAATCGATCAGAAGTGACGTGAAAATGGTCACATCCGCCTCTGGCTGTAATGCGCGCTCCCGACAGCGGAACCGAATTTCGGACAACAGCTCTATGCACCTTAAAGTTGCTTGCGATCCGCCATAATAGAAAAGAAGAAGGAACAATCAATCTGACTTAAAGTGAAGTTCTATGGCTGTCGGGTTTTAATCCTCCATCTTAAAGACATTTGTCATGATGATCGCTGCCTTGATTATCTCGGTTCTTTTCCTTACATCTGGAACTGCATCAACAGAAACAGGTTAGTTAGCAAAGAACAGCTAAGCGCTGCCAAGGCCTATTGTTTTCTTGCTGTCGGTTTAATGTAAGATGGCGCCTGTGGTGTGTTCACCTCCCTGAGTTCGTACAATCTTATTGCATGAAGGTTTCGGTGCAAAGGTCATTTCAACTTTTAATTATTAAATATTTGCTGTATATTAATTATTTTCTCTGCGTCATGTTTGCAGAAAAACGTCTGTTTCTGTGTAGCAGCGATGATTCAGAAACACTGTTAACAAAGATGTTTAGTTTCAGTTTAATTTGAAACTGAAACAAAACATCTAATTTGTTTCTCGTGTTAAAATTAACATAAAAATGTGTTAATTTTTTAATAATTAAAACTTCGCTCAGATTTCTGCATGACTTTTAAACTAAAACTAAACTTTAAGCTAATTAAGCGTCTGCAGATCAAAGTGAAACGGAGTGAAATGGAGAAAAATAAAAATGTTTCACTTTTTATTTTCCTCCATTTTGTGTTTCATCTGGACGCCATATAGAAATGATGTTCATTTATAAATATCATGTGATCAGAGATCAATAGTAACTAGTTACATTTACTCAGTTACATTAACTTGAGTAACTTTTTAGAACAAATGTACCTTTAGTTGTTTTTATTACTTTTTACTTTTACTTGAGTTTTTTTATTATGACGTTTTTCTAACTTGAATCAAATTTCTGGATTTTCTACCCACTGAATAAAAACCAAACATGTTTTAACCAAGAATTAAACACAAACCTGCAGTTTTGTTAAAGATGATGTCCAGCATCCTGCTGCTCCTCATCCTCAGCTCAGTTGTCTGTGGTCAGTCTCCATCTTGTCTTTGACAGAAAGCTCTCTAGATGGAGCTGAAAGACTCCCATGTTCCAGTTCTCAGTGTGTCTGCTCCTCTCTTTCCCTCTCTGTCTCCTCAGCAGCAACATTTGTAGTGAATGTGACACAGAGCAGCTATCAGGCAGAGGAGAAGCAGAACATCACTCTGGAGGACCTTCACCACCAAGACTCAGGGAACCTGGAAGAATCTGTTCATTATCTGCAGCTTAGAGACTTCTGATAAAGAACTAGTTCTCTATGAGGTTAACGAAGGAGTTGAGATTCCAGAGTCTCAGGATGATCAGTTTTCAGGACGAGTCCAGAGCGACAAAGACGTCCTCAGAGAAGGACGAATCAGACTCCATGTGTCCAGACTGAGGACTGAAGACTCTGGTCTGTATCTGTGTGACGTGGAAACTGGAGATGGATTCGACTCTGGAATATGTCGACGTTACTGGTGAGTTATTTGGGGTTTATTTTACTTTCTATTAACTTTTTATGTCTTTATTGAGCATAAATGAAACTATTTATTAGTGAAATTTTAGCTTCTCTTTATTAAAGCTCATGTTTGATCACATCTCTAAGCTCTAGAGGTCAGAAGGTCGACCTCAGCATAGAGTTGTGAATTCAACTGATCTATATAGATGAAAACTGATTCTATCATAATTCTGCTGAAGTCAAAAGTGCAAACATCTTAATTTTATTTCATTATTAAAGTGAAACTGTGAAGGTAAAAAGTTAAATTGGTACAAGGGATAAATTATCTACAGTTTCTGTGCCAGCTTATATCATCAGTAGAAATATTTAGTATCTTCAATACTTGGGCCAGTTCCAGTCTATGGGGCCACTGGCCCCTTTAGATTCATCCTGAGTACGGCCATGTAAAGGACTGGACTGATGTAACAACACATTTCCACAGGATGATGAAAGTAAAGGGTTCAGTGGATTTTCTGCTGAGAGCAAAACATGCAGCACTTCTATGTTCATCTGTAAGCAAATATCGCTCCACAACCAAATGCTCAGCTGGAAGACAATAAACAGCAGATGATACATTTCATTCAATGTTTCCCAACAAATAAAATGTAGTGGCATCAAAACCTGCTGTGCATCAGAGCCTCCAGTCCAGGCTGGTTTGGTTTAGTGACCTGCTGCAGTTATTATAATCTGAATCTGATGATATTCATTCATGTCCTGAACTGATGCAAAGTTTCCCCCCATGGACAGACAGTTTCTCTACAGACATAACAATTAGAAGTAGCTGGATTTCTTCAGAAGGAATAAAATAAATTAAGATCACAATGTTACTGGAAATCACCTCGACTCTTGACCAAGTCATGGGTTTCTGAACATATTGAAAGCAGCAACATTAGGTGGCGCTCTTGCACCGTTTCTGTTGGGATTTTTGTGACAATCTTAAAATATGTAAATTTCCAGAAGGTTTGATGCGTCTGCCAAGTTTGGTGAGTTTTCAATATAGTAAAACCAAATCAAGTAAAAGACTGTTAAAGGGAGTCCTGACTATTTTCTCCAGTAAAATCTGGTTTTATTTTTCTTGAGTTAAACATCAGTAATTTTACAGAAGTAAATAAAAAATGATTGGATTACATTTATAAACAAATTAAAAAAAACATTTATTTTGAAAAACCTCTATTAATGGGATAGATTCATTGTTTCACAATTGTAAAGATCTGACAGGAGAATAAGTATGAATATTATCTGAACAACAAACAGGAATATTAGTGTTTATTTATCATTATCTTTGTTTATTCTTCCAGTTCCAGTGAAGGTTGTTGGTCATGATCCGATTCATGCAAAGGTTGGAGACGACGTTATTCTGCCATGTCATCTGGAGCCTCCATTTGATGTGACCAAACTTACAATCGAATGGAGATTCAAGGATGAAATAATCCATGTGCATCGCAGCCAAACTAAAGATGATGAAGCTTCAGATCCAAAGTACATTAACCGAACCTTCATGTTCCCTGATGAGTTTAAAAAAGGCAACATTTCCCTCAAATTGACCAAAGTAACCAAGGAGGATGAAGGGAATTATATTTGCTTTGTTCCCAAACTGCAAAGTCAAGTCAGGAAGGGAAACGTTACTCTAATACTTGGTGAGTTTTATAAAATTAAGATCATTAAGACAAACTAGATAAATATATTAATGTCTATAACTCTTAATGTAATTATTCAACAGATGAAAGCGACTCGACTGATCCTGGAGGTAAAAATGTTTAACTAGGTAACCAGTGGTTACTGGCCCTCTGACTCAGTTTCAGACTTTTTGTTACCTGCAGCCATTGAGGCTCATTGGGTTGAATATTCATCTTCAGGCTTTTCCTGTTATAACATGTTGATGTTCAGCTGGGAAGATAAAACCTGAAGACCTGTGTGTGTGTGTGTGTGTGTGGGGGTGTGTGTGCGTGTGTGTGCGTGCGTGCGTGTGTGTGTGTGTGTGTGTGTGAGAGAGGTGCAGTAAATGATGAATGATGAGGTGACTGTTTATTCACAACTTTGATCTCATTAATAAAACAAAAAGAGAAAAAATCTAATTCAAAATATTCAAAAGCGGATTGTTAAAAATACATTTTTTTTTTTCTTGTAACAGGACGTCCTGGAGTTATTGTTGGTGTTGTTGTTGCACTCATCTTCTTCTTCACCGTCATCATCATCGTCGTCATCATAATCAAGCGATCTCAAATCCAGCGTGTTCTACGTCACTACAGAGGTGAACAAAGTAAGTCAGTCTTTGTCTTTTTAAGTCATGCAGGATTTTGTTAAATTAATAATTATCTCCATACATGCAAATTTCCAATTGATAGAAAATACCAATTTATTTTCTATCATTTGCAAAAACTGATCTGAAGCTAAATAGAAGTAAAACTCTTGATAAACATGAATAAGAAAAGTTTCACATATTTATCAATATCTATTGATCTTTGATGAGAAAAGAAAAGAAAACAAGAAACTAAACCATTATTAGTTTCCTTTTTTCTCTTTTGGTCTTTGTTGTTTATTGTAGCTTTTCTGCCTGATCAGGTTGATCAATTATTTTACCAGTAAAAACTGATAAGGAGAATTAAATATTGTCGCCTCATTTATATTGTGTGTTAAGATAAATATTCACTGTTTACAGTTTTTCCATGCTGGAGGAAAAACTCTCAACATGAACGAGGGAGAAAAATGATGGAGGTATGGAAATGGATCAATTCCAGATTAATAACTTATGTTAATTATTTCCTGTTTTATTTTCCTGCTCAGTGATAAACTAAGCAGTTACTTCATATAGATGTATGAATGTGTTTGTGTTGCTGCAGTCACTGAACATCACAGCTGAGCATCAAACCAGGAAGCTGAACTTCCTTGTTAGTGACTGAATGTGACTGACTAGATATTAGATCATTGATGTAGCAGCAATGAACTGGTGACCTGACTGGGTTCATCATGGCTCACCAGTATTCCCACTGACCTGAACAGGATATGAAGGTTTAGACCAGAGGGTCCAACCTGTGGATCCAGACGCACTAAAGAGAAACAGCCAGAAAACAACAACATTCATTCATAAAATGCTACAAATTAAACTATTATTTACTGCACAAAACTCAGATTTTCTCTTCTTTGTTGTGTTTTCTTCAACAGAGAAGCTGATAGCTAATAAATCATGTTTAAGATTATAATTAGAGCTTAATGAGAGACATTTCTTCTACCTTCATTAAAGTTATATTCTTTTAATCTGACATCTGAATATACATTAAATATTCAGTTTAATATGACCATGTTTACATTTTATTGTAATATGCTTTGGTTTCTGGATTGTTTTATTTTTGTCAACAAACATCTGGAAAAAAATAAGAGACAAATAATTTTAGAAAAAGTCAAAACTTTAATGTTTTACTTTATTTCTTTTTTGCTGATTGATGATAATTTTATTTAGAAAAACTAAAAATGACAGAATTCTGTTTTTATTCAGGTCATCTTAATAATATTGTAACTTTGGGAAATCAAACAATCAGATGATGTTCTTAATGAAATGTTTTGTGTTTCATAGATCGCAGAGAAAATGTTGACCCAGGAAATGAAGAAGAAGGAAAACCTTTACAGGATCAAGGAAAACAAAACCAAAGTGAATCTTCCACCTGATCTAAAGTCTCTTCAACGTTTGTTGGTATGAAAACTGTTACATGTACATAATAATATAAAAAATTGTATGTCTTAAACCCAGAAGGAAGCCGTTCATATTAATATTTTTTTTAGATTAAAATAAAAGATGCAAGAATCATGTAAGTTAAAGAACATCTCAAGTCCAAAGATGTTTCTGTAGTTTAGTTTCTTACTCAGCTTTTGATAAATTATTTGTCTTGAAGTTTTTTTAATTCATGCAAAAGTTGACAGATTTGATCCCCAGCTTGAGCCTTCAAAAGGTTTTTAATTTAATTTCTGTCAGTGAATCTTATTTTTAATGTTCTTATTACATGAATAACCCAATATTTATGTATTTTATTATGACTTGCTGGGTAGTTTTTAAATTTTAAAAAAACTTCTAGTTGTAAGTTGTTCGTTTGTCCGAGACTCTATTAAACTGCTGTTGTCACATTAAATATGTAAAAAGTCAAACTTTATACAACAAGTTATTATGACAACATTATTCAAAATGCTAAACAATAAGGAGATCAAAACAAATCAGATTAAACAGTTTAAAAATATAGTATAAAATTAATACACATAAATCAGAGGGAACAAATGTGACTTTAACTTAGAATCATTCAAAAACATGATTGTCTGATGTCTTGAAAGCAGACATGATGATGAGGCACAAAAGGAAAAAACATTCTCTCCAGATGTTTTCCTCTGGTTTTAGGACTTTTGAAAAGGTCAGTGTCTTAAGATGGGAGGACATGCAGTAGGACATAAGCAGCAGATCAGAAAACTTTAAGTCTTATAAATGAGCAGCAAAACGTTAAAGTCTGTTTGAACCTGAAGCAACCGGTGAAAAGATTACAGAAGTAGAAATGTGAGCATATTTCCTGGTTTTGGTAAAATGCAAGCAGCCACGTTTTGAACCGTCTGCAGATCCATAAAACTTTTCCTCAGTAACCAGAAAGCAGAGCATTGCAGTAACGATGCATGAAGACACTAATGGGTGGATAAGAACCTCTGCATTTTGATCAAACTTTAAATTCTCCTAAAAACATTAAAGTTTAGAGATTATCAAAGCCGGTCCTTGTTATCTCTGAAATGAGAAAGACTGAACCTCTCACCCACATTATTTACCTCATTCCTCCATTTTATGACAGTCATCAATTTTTAAAGTGAAATTTATGAATTTATTTAGTTTGAATGAAAAACATCTGAGATGTTGATGCTTTTCAACATTCATCATTCAAACATAATCTTTCTGCTATACATAGAAAAGGAGACCAGAACCAGAGAGACGAGGAAGGACCATCATCATCATCATCATCATCATCATCATCATAATCATCGTCATCATCATCATCACTGTGGGACTCATAGCAGCAGCTCTAAAAGCTCTAATGATAATATAGATGTTTTGGTTTAGGAAGAAAAGTAGAAGAAACCAAACTTTTTGACAAAGAACATTTTTGTTTGAACTTTTTCTGTTTGACATATTATATTTTAATAATGACTTTGAGTCGTTTATTGAATATCTTCAGATTCATGTTTTAAATCATTTCTGTTCTATAACCAGAAACAATGATCTGTTATTCTGTTACTCAGATGGATTTATTCTGTTTCACTTCATGTGTTTAGAGAAACCAGTGGTGACAACAGTGTTAGGAGTTTGTCCTGAAATCAGCATGTTGCTGGTTCAAATCTGCCTCTTTCTTAGTGTCCTTGAGCAAGGCACTTCACCTGCCTTACCTGCCAGTGGCATCAACCCACAGCAGCTGCTGCCAAATTGCTGCAGGGCAGCAGAGGCTGTTATCCAGTATTGGTCACCATCAGTATGAATGGATGAGTATGAATGGATGAATGACTGAATGCAGAGTGAAGCATTTTGGATTCAACTGGACTTAAACAGAGCCTAAAAAGTACAAGCCATATTTAATGTTTTATGGAAATAGTAAATAGAGCTCTAATTTATTATTTAAACATTCTCGTTATCAGTGCTGTATAGATTTTTCATATGAAAATTTTTGATTCACTTTTTACTTCACTACATTTCAGAACTTAATTGCTCCTCTTCATTTTCATGTGTGGTTTAGTTACTCGTTACAAAAAGTGAGAGAGAGAAACACAAATGTTTAGACCCAACCTACTGATCGACTGCAACAAAGTCGGTAGCCGATTTGCCTGAGTTTGTTCATCTCCACCAATAGATGCACATGTTTCACTTCTCCCATTAATCACCAAGTTTACTAAAAGCTCTCCCTCTTCAGATGCCAAATAAGCTGCATTTCCCTCCCAATTCTTTTTCTTTTGCATAATGACCAGTTGATGCACCTATAGTTTGTGAAGTAGAGGAATCGTAACGGCTTTTTTTTCTTCATGTTGGCCGCATTTTCTGTGCTATATTTTTTCTCATTTTCAGCACTGATCTTACTGAAAGAAAACTTAAGGCTTACAAAACCTTGTATTTTCTGTCCTTCTTGTACTAAGAAGCTGATCATAGTGAGAGTCTGACGACACTGAAACCTCCGCGCATGCGCCGAGCAAACAAGGCGAAGCCCCGTGTCGGTGCGCGTATCTCTTTAAGGAAAACCACGTGACCGATACAATTCCTGTGTCGTTTGGTTGTGAAGGCGCCAAATTGTATTTATGAACAGAAAATGTATCGACATGTTGGTGGGTTTTGTTGGATGGAGATAGTTTGTGTTGTTTGGCTTGTCAATGAAACTATGATCAATCGAGGAAGAGGAAGTTTTCTCCCGTTTGATCATTTTGATCTTATCACGGAGAATAAGGTCAATTATTATTCCCTTCTCGTTTCCACTATTGATCATTCTTCTGTCGGGTTATTCCAATTTCTTTCTGAAGAATACTTTAATTAGTTTACATGGATTAACTTTTATTTCTATTGTAGATGAAATGTATACAACAACGTGATTATACAACATCACGTTGTTGTATAAAATTGCACTAAATGTTGTCCTAAAAAAAATCATTTTTAATACCAAAAAGGTTCATGTTGTCCATTCTTGAACCTCTTACTATAACGCTTTACGCAACTATATTTACTTTTTTTAAACCGGTTTGAGGTCAAGAAGGAAAATCCATACAGCCAATATGGACCAGCAAAAGCAAGAGAAAATTCCCTAAAGCTTTTGGGCAAAATGAAAATGCTTTAAAGTGAAATGGCATTATATTCAAGTTTCATAAAGAGGACCTGAAACTATTAATGTGTCGCTTCTCCGATGAAGGAATATTGTCTGATTTGATGAATTTATGATCTAATTGCACTTTCAATTTTTCAAGATAGAAATACGTCAGAAGGAAGAAACTGCAGCATTCATCTCGGCTGATTTGTAAACAGTTAAAAAAATAATAAAAAATACAACTCAGTTTTTTTTGTTGTGTTTTTTTTTTCTTGGCGATTGGCCCAAAGATGTTAACGCAGCTGATGTTTCTAAATAAAAATGTGTGAATGAACCTTGTTCAGTCTGTTTCCAGTCTTTATTGATGTTTCCTGAATTACTTTTTAAATCCAGCAGATGTCGCCATTGAGCGATACAGCAACACAGTTTCAACACAGTTTGGGAAATGTACCACACACCCAATGAGGCCTCATCTGCCCTTCACTAGTATTCACCACGACGAGAGAATGGTTTCTGGTAAGCCCTTCTCTGTGGTAACCAAAAACAGCACAACAATAAAGAGATACGAGTAAAGGCTGGACCTCCTCTGTTCATTCAGACATTACAGCGCCCCCTACCGTTATATGACCGCATGGTGTTGAAATAACAGCCTCAAGTCGTGGCTGATGAGTCATATCTTTGGTAGAGGCGTGTTTTATCAGTGATGTAAAGCCAAGTTCTTTACCACTTCTGGCTTGAAATCAAACTGAACCGTGGGCCTATTGTTCATGCGCTGCTTTTTGCATGAAGGTTTCGGTTCAAAGGTCATTTCAGCTTTTAGTTATTAAATATTTGATATAAATGCATATTTTCTCTGCGTCATGTTTGCAGAAAAACGTCCGTTTGTGTAACAGCGATCATTAGAGAAACACTCAGTGAACTAAGATGTTTAGTTTCACTTTGATCAAACATGTTTTTATCAGTTTTATCATAATTAAAACTTCTCTATGTTTTCTGCATGACTTTTAAACTAAAACTAAACTTTAAACTTATTAAGCGTCTGCAGATCTGATCAAAGTGAAACATTTTATTTTCCTCCATTTTGTGTTTCATCTGGACGCCATATTGAAATGATGATCATCTGTAATCATCACGTGATCAGAGATCAATAGTAACTAGTTACATTTACTCAGTTACATTAACTTGAGTAACTTTTTAGAACAAATGTACCTTTAGTTGTTTTTATTACTTTTTACTTTTACTTGAGTTTTTTTATTATGAAGTTTTTCTAACTTGAGTCAAATTTCTGGATTTTCTACCCACTGAATAAAACCAAACATGTTTTAACCAAGAATTAAACACAAACCTGCAGTTTTTGTTAAAGTTTTATAAGTTTTTTATGGAAAGAAACTGATTTGGAAAAAAATAATAAATTCTTAATTTTGTTATTTTGTTGTTATTTAAATTATTGTCATTTTTCTCCTTAAAGTATAAAAAAATTCCTCAAATCTTTATGTTTTGGTTTGTGATTATGTAATTTTAATATTAAATGATTGATAATTTGATCAGTAACTTTTTACCAAACATTATTTTATTCTGACTGGAGTATAAATATGTTGAAGTAGTGCTACTGCTATTGGAGTAAAATGTTTTGGTCTCTGCATGTGATAACTTGTAGAAATAATGTCTATAATCAATGTGTTTTATTATTTCTAACAGAGCATCAATGCTGAACCGGACCTCCTCGTCTCTCCTGGTTCTGATTCTGAGTTCTGCTGCTCTGGGTGAGAAATATGACTGAATGTTTTAAACTGAACTTTAACTCAGAGCGTGAAGGACGTCTCAGGTTTCTAGGAATAATTAGCAGATCTGATATCACTGGATCTATTTCCTGTCAGTGTTTTGATCAGAACTTTTCATCTGAGCCGTTAAATAAACTTTTACCTGAAGCTTCGTGAGAAAATGTTTTAAATTGTCCGTCAGCGTCTGAAACATCAAATCCTGGATATTTGGAGGTGTGATGATGCATCAGATTATCAGAACTACTTCATCAAAGTGTTTCTGAGGATTTGTGTTGTGATTTCTTGCTTCTGTCTCTTTCTGACTCCTGCAGGAAAATCTCTGCCCACCGTGAATGAAACTCTGGACGTCTACGAGGCCGAGGAGAACTCCAACGTCACGCTGAAATGGATCCGTCCGGATCCACGCCACGCCGCCGAACCGGCTCTACGTCGATCTGATGAGCATGGAGCCGCTGAGGAGGATTTATCGGTTCGACAGCAGAGATGAGACGTACACAGATGATGAGTTCAAAGGTCGACTGCACTGTGACCCCCAGCTGGTCAGGAATGGAGGGATCCGGTGTCTCCTGGCTGAAGTGAGGCTCAGCGATGCAGGTCGGTACCGGTGCTACGTCGTCATTGACGGAAGAAGAGACCATAGAGACTGGGAGCTTGTAGTCAGAGGTGAGTTTTTACTGATAAAAATGGTTTAATCTTTATTTTCTGGTCTTTTTTATGTTTTCCACTTTATTTTTGGGTCTGAAAAGCTGCATTTTCATTACAAATGTTTATTACAAACTGTCTTTGATATTTCACAAATGAAAAAAGATTAAAAAAAGAAAATATTTTACAGATACAGTGTTTCCATTGAATAAGAAATACAATTAAAATCTCATGTGAATAATTTTATTCATGCAATAAGTCATTAAAAACATGAATGAGTCAAATGTTAAGACCCAGAAAATTCTTCTTCTTCTTAAATGCGTTTTTCCAAAATCGGGTTGTTTCCATGAAGCAAATTTTCTTTCATAATTTCATTTTACAGAGTTTTAACATCAATGGAGACGCAGCTACTGATTTATTCTTGATTCTTTCTTTGCAGCTTCCATTCCTCAGACTCAGGAGGAAACCCAAGAGCTGGTGGATCGCGGGAGGTTTGGACTTTATGTTGGTTTGGGTTTGTTCCTGCTGGCAGCAGGACGACTCGCCCTCCACTCTGCTGCTGGTTCAGGTTTCAGGTTCAGCTCATCAAACTCCAGGACATAGATTCACCAAAAATCCACAATCACAATCAGTCCCAATATTTTTTTTTTTTTTTATCATGACCTGATTTTGTGTTAGAGGAGGCCTTATGACCTTATGACCTTATGACCTCCCCAAAGATTGCCCCGTCTTCAGTCCCTATTGGACTTGGAGCTCCAGCTGTTGTGTGTTTTATGGTTTCCAGAAACTGAGTTCTGCAGAATGAGCAGAACTTGTTCTGGAAATATTTTGGTTCGTTACAAATGCACTTTGCACTTTGCACTTTGCCGACAGCGCTACAGAAACGGTGCTGCTATCAGTGGAATCACGGGAGGGAAATATTACACTGAGAAAACAGTTTCTACCTCATAGAAGTAGCGCATAAACATGGCCGACCGTCGTTCTTCCTTTGGCCAAAAGGTTGGTGAGACGATTTACGGCCATGTCACAGGTTGTGGTGTCGTTGAGCCAGACACCAAATCCCTGAACTAGCTACCTCGACGGCTCGGATGTAGGAATGTAGACTGAGGTCTTATTTTAAATAAGCTTGTTTACAAAAATGCTATGCATGGAACAAGGTCAGATGTTACTGATGTTTAACTGTGATGTGATTCGTCTAATTTTGAGACGACAATCAACAAAGTGTCAATAAGCAACAAACTGAATCCTTGAATAAGCTACCTTCATAGGAAAAGGTATTAACCGGTTTCCATGGCTGTAAAGCAGGAAACATGGCGGACCATGTATGGCTCATCCTTCAGTTCAGAGGTTGAGGCCAAAGAAACTCTGAGTCTCTTTGGCCTCAAACAGAAAACTAGATCACGTCTGAATGGCTTTAAGCTGTTAAAGTGGTCATAGAGGAGAAGTGCATTGTGGGAAATGGTGTTTTGTAGAAGAAAACTCTAAATACCAGGAATGCAAAGATGCATGATGATCATTTTGGTAAAGAATACTGCTGCCCCCTTGTGGTCAGAAACTGGAAAATGAACCAAACTGGAAACACAGCCGTAAATAAGATTTTTAGTTCAGCCTCAGTTTGAAGATCTGAACTGCAGATGTTACAGTTTCTTTGTCTTTATCTGTAATATTGAGACAATAATTATTGATGATGTTGTTTCAAGTCACTGAAATGACGACTCAGCTGCCATGATGTTCAGTTTCAGTTCAAAGCAGCAGAACAGATAAAAAATGCTGAATGAATTTGAGACGATGAAAGTTTCTAAATCAAAGAATCTCATCTTTAAATCTTTAAACTGAGTTTTCAACATAATGACGATCTGCTGGCCTGATGCACAACTGGCTTCATAAAAATGAACAAAAACAAACAAATTGTCATTTCTGGCTGTTAAAACATATAAAAAATATTCATTAGGATCAAATGTTGACCTGAATGGTTTAATTATTCTATATAATCTGTTGGTGGTTCAATCCAACGACTTTAAATCTCCAGATTCTCTCATTAAACTTTATTGATCACTGATGTGAAAAACAGCATCAAACCAGCAGCTTTGCTCTCATATTGAATGAAACATTTTCTCTTTCTGTCATTTATTCTCATGTTCCAGTTCATTTGCTAGAAGAAAACGTTCAGGGTTAAAAAATAGGACAAGTCATCATTATATCTATATAATCACATCTGATCTATATGACAAATTCAAAGAAATATTCACAAATTGAAAATATTTCCTTCATGTTTTTCTGTAACTTTAATGTCAGTAAATCAATAAACTGATTGCAAACGTCTGTCTGTGTGAACATGTGGAGTTTAAAGGTTAATTTCTACATACAGTCTGCAGAAATCTCAGAGCAGCTGGAAAATATTTTAGTTTCTAAGTTTTGAAAAAAGTTGTGATTATAATATTTTTACTCATTTATGATAAATCCATGAAAACAGATAGAAATGATTATTTCAACAGTTTTTACTCTTGAAACACAGAGGTGGTGCTGGCATGATATGGGCTGACAGTCTGTATAATACATGTTGACTTGTAATTATAACATCTACATACTAATATTATATTTATAAAAACTTCTGTGTGTTAATGTTAATATAGAAGAGAAAAAACAGGAGAATTAATAATTTTATCATTTTAATACACAAATTAAAATTACAATTGGGATCAATATTGATATTGAACAAAATATAAAAACGGAACAAATCAAACTGAACGGATCTAGTCGGTCCATCACTCAGACCTTCAGCTCTATAAGCTCACAGTTCCTAACTCCACCACCAGGTGGCGCTCCAGTAGAACCCTTGATGGTAGAACTGGTCTGAGGTCAGATCCAGCAGCTGGACTGGTTCTGCTGAGGTCCAAACGGCTGCAGCTCATGTTGGATGTTAAAAGGTTCTGCAGAGAATCAGGTTCTGACAACATGAGGGAAGAAATCTGGATTTATTTACAGCAGAACCTTCAGAACCAGAACCAGTGGAGCAGATCCAGAACTTCACTGATTCATCAGCTGCTGCAGCTTAAAGCATCTAAGATCAGGGTTCTGATTCTGGTTCTGGTTCCAGGTTCTGGTTTCAGGTTCTGGTTCTGGTTGAGTCCAGAACGTCTGTTTCCAGCAGCCAGCGGATCAGAACCAGAACCAGAACATCACTTTGCTGCTGGTTCATGAACAGAAGGAAGAAAATCAGATAAAACCTGAAACACTGAACTTACAGATAAATAACATCTTATATTATTTTCTATCTTATAAAATTGTTTCAGTTTTAAAATCCTTCATTTACATAAACATCAGAGAAAAGAGTTTAATGTTACAGATCAACATTCTGTAACTTTTGATCAAAGTTGAGAAAGCAACAGAAAGTGCCTTTCTATTGTCTCTTTTATGTCTCTTTAACATAAAAGAGATGTATTTTGTGTTAATGACGTTTCTTTGTCAATAACATATTAGTCTCTTTCTCCTGACAGAAAACATTTCACTAAAAAACGATAGAAAAGTCCAATTAGAGCTCCTGCTGTTAGTCCCACAGTGATGATGATGATGATCCTTCCTCGTCTCTCTGGTTCTGGAGTCAATCTTGGTCTCTGAGTTTGGATCTGATCAGCAGCTGCTGGGAGAGAAATCAGAAATATTTATTAATATTTGATGGAAACTGAGATCCAGGAGGATTCATGGAGAAGATGAAGAAATTCAACAACTCAGGATTTTATCAGAGTAAAATATTTCTTCTCACCAGAAACGTTGAGTCGACATCCTGCCTTGTTGGATCCATCTTCAGTTTTCACGTCACACAGACACAGACCAGAGTCTTCAGTCCTCAGTCTGGACACATGGAGTCTGATTCGTCCTTCTCTGAGGACGTCTTTGTCACTCTGGACTCGTCCTGAAAACTGATCATCCTGAGACTCTGGAATCTCAACTCCTTCATGAACCTGATAGAGAACTAGTTCTTGATGAGGAGCCAACAAGCTGCAGTAGATAAAAGTTTCCCTCCAGGTTCCCTGAGTCTTGGTGGTGCTGTAATAATCACTGCTATATTAGTAAAATACATTTCCTAATACAGTAAGAAAAGGGAGCTTCATGAAACGTTTTGCAGATAAAAACACCTTCACTGTCATGAGATCAAAGACTTTTAATTAGTTTGTTAAACTAGAATAATGAGAAAACTCAGATTTTATGCTTTTAATACATTTTATTTTAAGTAAAATACCATTAAAGCTTTTTTCAGTTTTCACTGTATTTTTGAATAAACATAACTATTTATGCTGCTGTCTATTATGAGATTTTTCTGGAGTTTGTAAAAACCAGTGCGTTAAAGTAATTTCCTGAAATGTTTTCATTTTCTACTGTTAAAATGAGCTTCAATAACTTTAATAAATGATTTGTCATCTGCAGAAAGTGGCTCACATAAAGACCAGAGAGTTTCTGTCACAACACAGAGGATTAATTAGATTTTATCTTCCTGCAGCAGAACAACAACACAGACAGGTTATTATTTTATTGTACTAAATAAATCTTCTTTAAATCTCATTAGTTATATTTATTAAACTTCAGCTTCTGCACTTTACAAAACTTTATGTATCCCTAAAGTTTAATTCAGTTCAGCAGTTCACAGTAACACGATCACACATTACATGATATAAAACCACAGGATTCACAGATTCACAAAAATGTAATTAAAAATATGAAGTCATAAAACAGTTTTGTGTTTTTCTGAAACAAATG